AACAATCTATACATGGGAAGGTTAATTAATTCCTCTTCGTTTCTTTAAATATTTCATCCACGATATCATGTCTCGATTAAAAATCTCTACCTTGTGATTTTTTTTTTATAAAAAAAAATACAACAACAGAGAGAGAGATTCCGAATTTTTACCCCATTTTTTTATGGGTCCATTATGGTGTCATGACTTGAATTACTGCCACCCTTTTAAGGAAAAAATAAATGAGACAGTGGTTAGGATACAAGCTTATTAGTCATTGACATATTTTTTCCAATGTTGTGGATAGGGGTGGGCACTATTTGGTTTTAACCGAATTAACCGAATTTTCAAACCCGAAATAACTAAAAAAAACATCATATTCGAGTTTCAGGTCGAGTATCAATAATTTGGGCCGTATCCGTAATAATTCAAGTATAATTTTTGGTGTGAGTTCTAATAACAGACTAACTGAATAGTGCCTCCTATCAAACTTGAAATAACCAAAATACTAAAGGGTATAAAAACTATTTAGGGTTTTTTTTTTTTTTTATCACCTATTCATTTTCCCTCTTCATTCTCCCGCTTCTCCTCTAAATTCCCTAGCCCCCAAACTTCATTCAACCCTCTTCTCTTGCTTGAATTCCATCCTTTATGCCTCGGTGAGTGAAATTTCTTCTTTTTTTCTTTTTTGATGAAGTCCCATGCATTCCTTCGCTTGTTTGTTAGATTCCTACACCTATAGTATGGGGATTGAAGCATGGGTGAAGCTCGGGAGGGGGGTTGAGCAGGTTCTTGGACAATGCCCTCCTTGGTCCCCTTAAAATCAACTGCAATTTATGATTTCCATAGAACTTGAACTTGCACTACAACATTTTTCTTCTTTTTTTTTTCTTTCTTTTTTTTAGGGGGGGTGTTCCCGCTTTGATAGCTTGCGTTTCTGCGATTCTTGGCTACATGCTCTCGAGTTTACCCTAGTCACCCTACTGCTCTGCTATTCAACCCTTGATTGCATGTCACCAGAGCCAAAGTCCAGAGGTGCCGCTTGTCCACAGGGTTGCTTAAGAGGATCTTTGATTCCCTTCCTTTTAACTTCAGTTTTGATCTTCTTCCTCAGTTCCTCCTATTCTTGGCTACTAATATGAGAAGTTTTTAGTTTTGATCCCCTTCCTCAATTCCTCTTATTCTCGGCTACTAATATGAGAAGTTTTCAGTTTTTAGTTTTTAGTTTTGATCCCCTTCCTCATTTCCTCTTATTCTCAGCTACTAATATGAGAAGTTTTTAGTTTTGTGAGTTTGGTTATTTTGGTAGATTTTCTCTTAATATAGCTGTCAATGGTAGGCATTTTAATTATATTTTCTTGTTTTTTTATTTTGAAATTAATTAAAATTTCCTAAGGTAAAAGAAAAAAAGGAAAAAAAAAATCAAAATCAGAATTTGCTTTTATAGAATTTCGGTTAGAACAAGAATTTTGATTAGAAAGGTTCTAACCGAATTGTAACTATGACCGAAATATAATTTTGGTTAAAACGGTTCGGTTATGATTTGTGAACACCAAACATCGAATTACAACAATAACTGAAGTGAATATCTGAATTTCTTTCGATTCGATATACAGTTTTCACACTTCATTACCAAATTATTTCGGTTACTATTAATTTTGGTTCGATTTGGAACCGTAAAACCGAATGCCCACCCCTGGTTGTTGAGACGGCGGAGATTGTAAATGTCACATCTGACCAAACATTATGAATGCAAAAATCTTGTTTCACAAATGTGCAAAACCCATGCCTAAATTTCTTCTCTTTTTTCAACTCAATTGCGATTAGTCATACAATTTGATGTCAACAAAAAGGAAATTTTTGAAGGGGGATTTTGACAATGAAGCTTTGGTTGAGGACAGCCCCAAGAGCTTATATGCCTATTTTTTTGGGCACATCATATCAGTGGCCCTACATACCCTATTCTAATTTAGGACAATTTAAATTACATCGTAACAAAGTAAAAATGAAATGACATATTAATAGATAGTTTAAAATAATTGTAACGTGTAAGTAGGGTTTACTATAACGTCAACACGCTAAATTAAGAAATAATTTATACCAAAATGTAATACAAATCCCTACATCAATAGTGTAATTAAAAGCATTTTCTTAAAAGTTTTAAAAGATATTTACTTGTTTTGTGAGTTTTAATTTATTCACCTCAAACATTTAATTGGGGGTTTTGGTTTCTATTATGAGTAGATTGCTTGCCCAAATACGAAAAGCAAAAAACAGAATGATGATGAATTTGGAATCATATATTGCATGGAAAATAGCTTTGAAATGCAGCGCTGCTTCATGTCTAAAGACAAAAGAAATTATGAATGCTTAATTAGTTGGGTTTATTAAGCAGCCAAATTAGCTTCAAAGAAAACAGAAAGTAGTGTTAGGTAAAATGTTTTAGAAGCAAAGTGCGTAATTAGAATCTACAGCTGGATTGACAACTAAATTAGTGCTAACCACTCGTTCGTTTAGGAAGAGGAATTTTTCCTTGTCCTTTTCAAAATAAACAATTTTTTTTTTTTTAAAAAAAAAAGAGAAACCCAAAATATGCTTGACTTTGTTACTTTCATGGTAATTTTGTTTTGTAGAAATAAAAACGTATATTAACTCAACGAAAGTTTCATAAAATTGTCTGATTAGTAAGTTTAATACTCAACTACCCACCTCGTTAATCAAGTTTTGATTTTTAGGAAAGGCTAAGGAAGGCAATTTCTTATAAATTCTCTATTTTTGGGCAAAACATGTACTATTTTTAAGCATATTTAATGATAAATTATACAATATAAATTATATAAATCTGTTTAGTATTAACTCTCAATGTATAAAAGTTACATTAAATCTTTACTAATTTATAATCTAATTAGATCAAATCTCATAAAAAAAAAAAACTCTTATAATATCTATTTTTTCATTCACAGTAATCAAACTCATAACCTTACACAAAGGAAAATGAACTGCTCCAGTGCAATACCAATGATCTCAGTAAGTGGGCCAATCTCTACAAGTTGCAGGTGGGTTTCAGGTAAAGTAGTTTTGGATCAGGGTGTTTCCACTGATTATGGGTCTAAGGTTGCCCAAAATTGTAGTGGCTTGTAGCTTCAGCAGGCCTTAGCCCAATTTACAGTCTTCAGCATTTGCTTTTTCTCTTGTGACTTTCCAATTTCCTCTGGTTTCAGCTGAAGTCCGAACCGCTCAGGGAGTTCCAATCGTCGAACTGGTACGCTCGATCTGCCCTAATCTGAATGAATTTCTGTCTATGTTTCCTTTTCGGGTTTCATTTGGAGCAATTTTTGTCTGAATTCAGATTTTTCGATCATTTTGTCTGTATTGATTTTGTCTGGGGAGGTAAATCTGATTAGTTAGGGTTTCAATTCTGATTGTCTAGAGAAAATGGGGTTTATCATGGAGTTCGCGGAGAATTTGATTTTGAGGTTGATGGAGGACCCAAAGGAGAGGGATAGGAAATTTAGGGAGCACGTATACTCAGTGAAGGATCGATGCAACAAGACCAAGGAAATGTGGAGCTATCCTCTGCGCCCTTATGGGTTCTGGACATTTGAGCGCCACAATGCCCAGCTTCGCTGGGATGCTCAGATTAGCCAGGTGCCAGGTCGTAGGGACCTCTATGATGATCTCATTGAGAAGAGCATTGACCCCTCTTCCAAATGATTAACCAGGTTTGATTTTCAACCCTTTTGCTGGTTTTAGGAAGGATTGATCTTTGATATTATGCCCATGGTTTTCTGTTTTATTTTTCGATTGTTTCTCCTGCAGCTTGTTGAGGGGCAAATGCATCAAACTGTGTCATTCGTTTGTTTGTTTGTAGCTAGTTTCGAATGATTTATTTTATTGCATTGGAATCTTGTGTCCATGATCATATACATAAACAGAGTTTTCTCGGTTTAACCCAGTTTGACCTCCATCATGTTATATGAGTGCCACAAGAAAAACTCAATATTGATGTCAAATTATGTTTGTTAGGAGGGGAGCATTAATACATAATATTGCTCTGTTATCACCCTGCATGACTGTCATTTCAGAAGTCATTACTAAAATCCAGATAAATAATTGATTTTTCCCATTCGTTGGTCTGTTTCACTTTTTGTCTGAAATGGGTTGGAAATTATATCTCTAAACATATCTTGTCTTTAGAACTGCTGATTGCATAATCACCATGGAGATAGGCAGAAGATGCACTGGCTTGTGGAAGCCAGAAGGCATCTCTTCAGATTCACCTCTCTTCTAGCACAGTTTCCCGTGAAACAAAAATGCTTGTTGACGTTCGAGTTAGATGGAGGCAAATTTATGAAAAAGTTGATTCTCATATAAATTGCAAGTTTAGCCACTGAATCACTGATTAGGATTAAATCTTGTTGAGATCCATGATTATACTTTAGATGAGTTTTAAACTGACAATTCTTAAAGGCATTCATCAATTACGTTTCTTTGATGTAGGTTGTTTTGGAATTCCATAGCAGAAGATTTTGAGCTTAACCTCCACGGGGTCAGTGGAAGATCTACTCTGTTACTCCTTATTTTGAATTTCTGTGTATGTGACAGAAGCTCTGCATGTTTCATATAGTGCCTGAACTTCCCAGATCAGTTTACCAAGTAAAAATAATTGTTCATGTAAGTTGCATGTATGTTTTGGCAAGCATTTGCCGGAAGTTACAATCTTCTTTTTAATTTTTTTCTTTTGCTTTTTGTTTTTCCCCTTTTCTCTCTGTTATCTTTGTTTGTTGATTAATTGAATAAATTATAATTGAACCTAAGCACAAGCACGATAGAATTTTTCTCTGTTGATGAACTGGGAAGAAGTGTAACCACTAAATTAACACATCAGCTTCAAAAGCAAAATCCATAATACTCAGTCTTTAATGGATAATTTGTTAGATAATGCATGCGCAAGACTGTTAAGTAATGGACATGCTAAAACGGTGTAGTAACTTATTACATGTTGCACCTAGGTTCCAGTAATTGCAATGTTACCAACCGAACCCAAGCTTTCTCTTTCTTTTCTGGAGCAAGATCCAAAACCACTTTCGTTTTGGCTTTTATTCATAGGGTGTGGCTATTGACCTACTGTCACCATCCACATTGTCAAACTCACTAAAATTTCAGTTTTTTTTTTTTTTTTTAAACAATGTCTAGAATATGAGTTTATTGACTTATTTCAATTTGTTAATTAATAATTATTAATTATTATATCAATTAATATTTAATTATAATTATTAATTATTTTTGTTCATCAAATTAAACAAAATTAGTTTTTTTTTAAAATATATATTTATATACATATATTACATATTATATATATAAAATTTCAATTATTTATTTTTTTATTTTTAATAATTAACATTTATTTATATTTATTAAATATAATTTGTTTTATTTAAAAAACTATATTAAATTTTAACTATTAAAAATAAAAAAATAAATAATAAAAATTTTATATAAATATTATATATAAGATTTATATATAAATAAATTTCTCAATATTTTACAATTTTAATGATATAACATTATTGTTAGTGGCACTACCCATGCCCCTATTCTTATGATCATCTATCAGAGGTATCCGTGTCCGCATTCCAAGTAGGTTAAGCACGCATCCCCAAATTTGAGAAGAAGCACACCAGTTGACCCCCAATCAATTCCTCCACCCACCGAAAGACAAAGTCTTTACAGGTGAACCAGTCAATGCAAATGCTACAACATTAGAACCATTTAAGAGTACTAATGCAGATTCACTGATTCAGCATTGGTTTCACAACGACAGAATTAAACAAAAGATTGAAAAATATACACAAGCACCACTACCCACAAACTTCATTAAGACCTCCACAATGCAGACAACCAGAAGCAATCCTTCAGTCAGAATCTGAATCTGATTTATGTGCAACTACACTTCCATCTGCACTCTCGCGTGCTTGAGCTTGCTTAACTGCCTGCTTGATCTCATCCACAGGGATCAGAGGAAGATAACCAAACACAGGATAACCCTTGTGGGTCATGTCGTTAACTACGTGATTGTACTTGTCTGACCAGCAAGCAGCTGTGGGAACAGCCATATTTGCAACTGAGTGGAAGGAAGGATAATAGTTGAGTTTAACCCATACCTTCACCGAATTTGTAAGAACTAACTGCTTAGATTCTGCTGCAGCATAATGCAAAGCTCCACGTGCCCCGTTATCTCTTGCTTCACTAACAAACTTTTGAACCTTTTCTAATGCCTGCTGAATCAAAAACTGTGCTTGGCTGACGACCTGTTTTGCAACAGGTGGGGCACGCTCATCAAATTTGTGTGATACCTCGTCTACCTGAAGTTCTCAACAAATCAGGCAACTCCTTTTAAGTCACAATTTTTCACTTCCAGCATGTCCAAAGATAAACATCTTCAGCATCAGAAATATGCTAAACATTATACAGAAAGTGGTGCTTCAGTGCTTTTCCCTCATAAGATTTGTCATTGATTATTATCATATGCCAAATTCTTTCACTAACCTACCTAAACTGAAAAAAATTTACCATGACTTGCGTAAATCGATTTAGAACAAAGGACTTAATCTGTTTGA